GAAGGGAGGTTGTTAGGGGATGATTACAGGAGGTCAGAGAGGCTCAAGGCGACATCAGAGATGTCAGAAAGTGGAAGTTGGGAAGAACCAAGGGCCTTTGGGGGTATCCAGCAAAGTCAGCTGAGCACTTCCATCTCCTCGGAAGTTCAGAAGCAGAGTCATGCTCAGGTAGCCTTGAGGGCTCATGAAGATGGGGGCCATCTGACTGTAAGGGCCTGTTACTATTTTATTTAATCAGCATTAGGCTAACACTGAGGAGATCAGAGTTGGTTTTATCCGACTTCTTTTCGACTCTATCAAACACATCCTCAAAGCCCATTATCAGTTCCTTTCATCTGTCTCACTTCAAAAGATACCTTAACCTTAGGAACGCATGTTGGTTTGGGACATCAGTGGACTGCGTGTGAGCTGGATGGTCTTAGGCTGGGGGTCTGCACACTGAAGCAGGTGAAGCTATAAGGGTGCTGAGGGCTCTTAGCGATTGTTCGGGGAGGGGGAAGCACTTGGGAGGAGAGGGCTGGCTCAGAGATCTCCAAGAGCATTTCAGCCAGAGCCCTCTGATTTTCTCATATCCATATGTTGGCTGCTGAGGGATTATCTTCACTGACGAAGGGTATCTGGGACAAAACACAGAGAAAAAGCCCTTGTGAAATCAATTGTTTATTTCAGACCTTGTCAACTCAATCATACTATGTGACTAACATCTCATTTTCTCCTTTTAATTGATAAAACTGACCACTTGATTCTGCAATATTTAGGAAACGTGAGTAGACACAGCGTGGGGACGCAGTCTGCAAAGGTGACCTGAGGAGGCTGAGTGAGTGGAAGGCTGGAGGCGGCGTCTTGAACTTGGTGAGCGTTTGGTCCAGGAAGAAACTGCAGTCAAGGGACCTGGAGGGGCAGACGCATCATCTCCTTGGGCTCCCAGAGCAGTTTACAGTGAGAACTTACCCAGACTGTTTGCTTTTTCCCCTGAGTCCTGAATGAGGTTGGCTCAGGGCCTGGAAACTCTGCAATTTTTTTATGTTTTGGCAACCTAGGAAGAGTAGGTATTTTGCAATTTAGCTCAGTTGTTTCTTAATGTTTGGAGAGAAATATGTCTTTTTGTAGATTGTTTTTTTAAGTTGAAAAGAAGCATACTTTCTGAGTGTACAGAAATGCCTGTCCCATATTCATGCTAGGTTTGCATTTGAGTCCAAAAGCAATACAATAATTCCATTCCCTGATGATTGTCAAACTCAAAAAAATTAGTGTGAGCCACACTCCCAGTGGGATTCCAGTGAAAATTAGATTTGCAATAAGTAGGGGAAACACAATAAAATGTTCAGTGTAGGAATGCAAGATTTATGCTCTCTAATTACCTTTATTTTATGTCCTAGGGAATAGTCATCTTTGACATTTGTAAACTACCCTTGCTGCAGCAGCCCCTCAAGTCTTTCTTGTTTAAGAGTTGCTCTCTGAATGTCATTTCCCTACTCAGTGACATGCTGTTACCCCAGGGTGAGAGGCCGGGACCTTACCAGGAGGGAGCATCGTGATGTGCTTACAGCAAACGCTGAAAAATGCTCCTCAGGGGAGGAGGCCCGGCTGGCAGCTCTCGTGCGTGGAAACAGCGCTGCAGCCTGGCCGGCCGGCTGGGAGGATGCTCCTCACCGAGCAAGTTCACACCAGGGGAGTTACTAGTGTGCCTCGGCTATTTTCAAGCCTTTGGGGAAAGTCCCCTAAACACTTGGTTAGATAACCTTCGGGGTTGCTGGTAGGAGACCAACAGACTGTGGTTCATAATCGGGCAAGAGTTTCTTAAAATCCAACACCCCGAACACAAAATCAGACATGGTTACTATTACCGGTGGTTCTATTTTTGGAGCAGCTTTCAAAGTGATGGCTGTGAATGACAACAACCATTATCCTAGCTTATTCACGGCATCGCACTGCCCTGGGAAACCAGGGTTATGGAAATCAGGGGGATATTGCTTAAGATCGCTATTAATAAATTACATGCTAGAGCAGCAGTGGCAATAGCTCACCAAGCTGATGTAACAGAATAAGTATGCAGATGATTTATATTCTACAGAACCCAATCTTACTTTTAAGTCATTTGTGATAAAAGATGTCCAATTATCATTTTGCCTTTGACATACTTTGAATAATACCAGCTTAACTATATGTTGGCCAATTTATACTTCAAGTATATACATCTATCTATCTATCTATCTATCTATCTATCTATCTATCTATCTATCTATCTATCTATC